ACTTTCAGAAGTTTGAATTCTGAATATTTTCCTTTAAGAAAGTAGTAAGAAAACAGAACCAGGCAATTTAAATCGTGGGACTGGGGCGTCCATCATGATTCCTTACCTTATCTTGCCTTTGTTATAAAACACATCAATGCAAAACAACCCAATGAAAGATGCAGACACAAGTTATGACAAAGCAAACAAGCAACAGACAAAAGAAGAATAAAGTTAATAATGATTTTTAATTTCCACCCTGCTTTGTGTTTTTAGGATCAGTTAGCAGTAGCTTATCACCTCATCATAGATAACCGCCGCATCATGACCCAGGCCAGTGAGTTCTACCTGGCGTCCAGTCCTCCACAGGGCTCCTTCATAGAGGAAGGCATGCCGCTGCCCCCCGGCGTCAAACCCCACCCAGAGAGGATGCCTCCGCTTTTGGCCGACAGCCCCAAATCTCGCTGTCCTCTGGATGCTCTGAACACAACCCGGCCCAAACCTCTGGCGGTGAAGAAGGCTAAATGGCACCTCGGTATCAGGAGTCAGAGCCGGCCGTACGACATCATGGCGGAGGTGTACAGAGCCATGAAGCAGCTGAACTTTGACTGGAAGGTAACAGGATTGTTTTTGGGGACATTAAGCTGTGTGGTTAAAAGGAAAGTGTTCATCCGATTGTTTTCCTGTGTGGCAGGTGGTGAACCCGTATCATCTGCGTGTCCGACGGAAAAATCCCGTTACAGGAAACCTGGTGAAAATGAGCCTGCAGCTCTACCAAGTCGACAACAGGTCCTACCTCCTCGACTTCAAGAGCATCGATGGTAATCCATGGAAAAATGCACATCTTTGTATTTTCTGAAAACAAAAAAAAAAACCTGCAGATAAAATAAACTTCACTTGGAATGTGCATTTCTTTAGACTTTAGTGACACCAGATTAAAACGATTGAGTCAGAGCGCTTTAGCAGCACGTCACGCCTGGCAGCATGGTGCCCCTCACATCCATCAGCATCCTTGGTAAAGATGCTGAAAAGCTTTAATAAAGGAATCTTTTCAAATCTTTTACTACAAACAATGTAAATCTAAAGATGTTTTAGGTAAAGTTTTAAATACATTGATGTGTAGCTCTTTGTTTTTTTGTTTTTGCTTTTTTAGGTTTTTTATGTTTGTCAACATAAAAAAAAATCTAAAATTTTAATATTATATTTATATGTTGAATATTCTTTTTAAACATATAAAGGTGACCTTCTGTAAAACACGCTATTTATTTACTAATAACATGAGAACACAAAGTTAGCAACGAATCCTGAGGCTTTACTGCTACCAGGGCTGGATTTAGAAAATTTGGGGCCCTAGGCAAAGAGAGGCAGGGGAGAAGACAACACAG